CTATAGAAACTAAATATAATGAGGTTACCATTGCGAGGTAACCCTATAGAAACCTAAATATAATGAGGTTACCAGTTGCGAGGTTACCCTATAGAAACTAAATATAATGAGGTTACCAGTTGCGAGGTTACCCTATAAAAACTAAATATAATGAGGTTACCAGTTGCGAGGTTACCCTATAAAAACTAAATATAATGAGGTTACCAGTTGCGAGGTTACCCTATAAAAACTAAATATAATGAGGTTATCAGTTGCGAGGTTACCCTATAAAAACTAAATATAATGAGGTTACCAGTTGCGAGGTTACCCTATAGAAACTAAATATAATGAGGTTACCAGTTGCGAGGTTACCCTATAAAAACTAAATATAATGAGGTTACCAGTTGCGAGGTTACCCTATATAAACTAAATATAATGAGGTTACCAGTTGCGAGGTTACCCTGTAAAAACTAAATATAATGAGGTTACCAGTTGCGAGGTTTACCCTATAAAAACTAAATATAATGAGGTTACCAGTTGCGAGGTTACCCTATAGAAACTAAATATAATGAGGTTACCAGTTGCGAGGTTACCCTATAAAAACTAAATATAATGGAGGTTACCAGTTTGCGAGGGTTACCCTATAAAAACTAAATATAATGAGGTTACCAGTTGCGAGGTTACCCTATAAAAACTAAATATAATGAGGTTACCAGTTGCGAGGTTACCCTATAAAAACTAAATATAATGAGGTTACCAGTTGCGAGGTTACCCTAATAAAAACTAAATATAATGAGGTTACCAGTTGCGAGGTTACCCTATAAAAACTAAATATAATGAGGTTACCAGTTGCGAGGTTACCCTATAAAATACTAAATATAATGAGGTTACCAGTTGCGAGGTTACCCTATAAAAACTAAATATAATGAGGTTACCAGTTGCGAGGTTACCCTATAAAAACTAAATATAATGAGGTTACCAGTTGCGAGGTTACCCTATTAAAACTAAATATAATGAGGTTACCAGTTGCGAGGTTACCTATAGAAACTAAATATAATGAGGTTACCAGTTGCGAGGTTACCCTATAGAAACTAAATATAATGAGGTTACCAGTTGCGAGGTTACCCTATAGAAACTAAATATAATGAGGTTACCAGTTGCGAGGTTACCCTATAGAAACTAAATATAATGAGGTTACCAGTTGCGAGGTTACCCTATAAAACTAAATATAATGAGGTTACCAGTTGCGAGGTTACCCTATAAAAACTAAATATAATGAGGTTACCAGTTGCGAGGTTACCCATATAAAAACTAAATATAATGAGGTTACCAGTTGCGAGGTTACCCTATAAAAACTAAATATAAGGGGGAGTAACCCAAAAAAACCCAATCCCAGTATGACCTTTTCTAGGGTAGGAGTTGGGTTTTTTTGGGTTTTTTACAAATTTTTCATTTGAAGGAAATAAATCATTTAGGCACCTAGCAAAACAATTATCTAGTACAACATCACTGTTGGTGTTCATCACTACAAACATCATCAAATAGATATAATCGCTTAAATATCACCCAAAAGCAGTTATTTTATTCACTGATGTGCTCAGAAGAAGTTGGCCATCCAGATATGATATCAGCCATATGTAATGCTCACTTCGATGGCCATGGCAAATTGAGTTAGTAGGGACGCAACTCACTGATGACCCCAACCCTGACCGCAACCGGTACGAGAGGAATAAAGCCTTTTCTTCTCACCTTCACGATCTCTGTTTCCGTTTTCCTGATCATCCGCTTAACGAGAAACAAATGCTCTATCTCCAACTGAAAGAATCTTGCAGTTACCATCAGCTGCGTGATCACATGTGATATTAAGTGATATCTTCGCTTGTTTATAGCCCTGGAGTCGCTAAAATCTTGATTGGGATGGCATTCGATCTCGCCCTCCATTGAGGCAAACCTCAACAGCCGTATCATGATGCAGAGCATCACCATACACAGTTACTATTTTCGCCCATTCCTCTGATGAGTCAATATCCTCCACATCTATTCTTCATCATCTGTTTCCGCTTCGTCACTCTCTGCTCCGTCAGAAGATGGTTGGAAAGCCTCTCCTTCAAAGTTACAGTGTCCTTATCGCATCATAAACATTTTTACAAGTAGGCAGGTGGTCTTTCAATGGTTGTGTGAAGCTTAGGTGGCCCAAGGCGTCACCGCTGGATAGAAGCTGGGTGGAAGCCCTGGTCTGATGTGAGGCTCCCAGAACTTTGAAAAGGGGTATCCTGCTGGTGCCCTCTTCCAGACACTCATCGGACAGCATGATGAAAGCCACTACCTCCACGTGGTGAAGACTGGATACTGGACAGGGGGTCCAGGCTAAAGGCAGGACGGTCGACGGGAGACGGGAGCCCCGGAAGTTCAATAATTTGATCTATTGACTCCTTAACTCTTGGTCTACAAGAGGCTTTGAGACTCGTAAATCTTTACTGTGGATTGCACAGTAGCTAAAGAGGTGTTGGCTGTTACCCTGTTCAACCTAGTCTACTATGACCCAGCTAGACTGGACCACACTCTGGTAGTCAGGATTACGGCTCCCTATGCCCGGGGTACCGGGTAACGAGGTAGTCAGGGGAAGGGTTAGTCCCCGCTAAAGTGTAGCTCTGTTTCTCACTCTAACCTCCTTATGCTTTTGGGATAAAATCGGAAAGTCCCACACTGGAGCAGGTGACGATTGGGTAAGGATTACAACTGATGCTGTTTGGTAGAAAAAGGAAGTGTCACATTTGTCTTGTATAGCATATGTTCGTGCAATTACATGCTCAAGATACCCAAGATATTATGGCGAGAGTTAAAGATGGCTTTTGTTCAAGCGGATTGCCTTAACCTTTTACTCTTTTAGTGGCGCAAGAGTTAAGAACACAATCCACTGCCAATGTGCAGGGGGACTGCACAGGATTGTGAGCCAACTGAAAAGTCAATATGAATCTTATCAACAGCTTAAGGGTTAAAGCCCCTTATTTTTCTAGTGGAAGTGGTTGCCGGGGTAATTACGCTGCTATTACAGAAGCTGATAACTCGGTCTCCACAACACGACAACCTATTTCTACAGAAAGTCAAACAAGAAAACATCAAAAAAATATGAACATTAATTGTATTGTATCATGTAAAAGGACTGCTAAGGTTAGCACATTTAACATAAGAACAGCCAGAGAACAGCACAAACGCATCGAACTAAGAACTTGCAGAACTATTTTCTCGAATCAAACTGCACATCCTTGGCCTGCAAGAACATCATGTAGTGCATTCTGAGCCTACCAGGATAGAAAAGATGAACAAAGGGATTCATCTAGTGACCTCATCTGTGTGGAGAAACGCAGCTGGCGCTTCTAATGGGAGAGTAGGAATCATCTTGACGAGGACAGCATATGAGGCTATTTAAGTCTTATAAAATCTTACAGCGCAAGGATCCTCACCATGTCTTTCAATGGAAAGCGCAGGCTCACTGTCATCACATGCTACAGTCCTACAGAAGCCTCATCTGATGAGGAGGCAGAAAATCTCTTTTGTCTAAAACCAAGCATCTTACTGTTAATTTAGTAGAAGAGGAGCCACACACAATAACTTCTAAGGACGGACATGCCTTAGAGGAAGTTGAGGATTTTTTCTACCCAGGAGCCTGGATAAGTACAACAGAGCACGACTTTAGGGTACGCAAGGCCAAGGCATGGGCTGCCTACCACAAAATGAAGGCTATATGGAGGTCCAATTTGCGCCGAGATTTAAAGATCCGTCTGTTTCAAGGCTACAGTTGAATCAATCTTCCTGTATGGAACGGAAACGTGGACAATGACAGAATCTTTGAAAAGAATAGACGGATGTTACAGTAAAATGCTTTGGATGGCCCTAAACGTGGACTGGAGAGAACATCGCACCAACAAAGAGGTCTTTAAATCACTCCCAAGAGATAGTTCGAAGATACAGGCCAGAAGAATGAGGTCGGCTGGGCACATCCAGAGATCCAGCGATGTGATGACCTGGCAGTACACCAACTTCTCCTTCGGGAACCTAGCCATGGGACCAGAGGGAGGGGCAGACCACCGCTCACTTTCGTCGATAACCTAATAAGTGACACCGTACTCAAGAACACTGGGGAGATTAAGGAGCTTATGGCGGACAGAAAGCTTTGGAGACACATCATTGAGACTCGGACTCTGAAGCCGCCTTAAGTCAAGTAATTTAAGTCATGTGCTTTGACTTGCCCTTGACCTTCGTCATAGCCTCCTTCCATGACAGGAGAACACATTTGCCACATTTCCACTTTGTGCATTAATATGGATTATATCTCGATGATCGAGACATCCTGTTTGCTATCGTGATAACATACTATCAATATAAACACACTCATATACTATGTAAACTATCTATTAAGTTAAGACATGAGAACAACACGTAGGTAAGACTCAGTGGGAAATAATTCACATTCAATACAATTAATGAAATGGCTAGAATTTTGTTTAAATTTTGTTTAAAAAACCCAAAAAAACCCAATCCCAGTATTACCTTTTCTTGGGTAGGGGTTGGGTTTTTTTGGGTTACACCCCCCCCCCCCCCCCCCCCCATATAATGAGGTTACCAGTTGCGAGGTTACCCTATAAAAACTAAATATAATGAGGTTACCAGTTGCGAGGTTACCCTATAAAAACTAAATATAATGAGGTTACCAGTTGCGAGGTTACCCTATAAAAACTAAATATAATGAGGTTACCAGTTGCGAGGTTACCCTATAAAAACTAAATATAATGAGGTTACCAGTTGCGAGGTTACCCTATAAAAACTAAATATAATGAGGTTACCAGTTGCGAGGTTACCCACCATTAAACACCATTTCATATGTTCATTAATATACTTCCCAACTCTTAGTAGTAGTAGTAGTAGTAGTGCGTTCTAATAATAATAATAGTAATAGTGCGTTCTAGTTGCTGCACTTACTCTCACTGTGAGTATTCTTATTAAACACATCCCTCCCCCAGGTTATTCTAGCTAAGTACGCCAGTGATACCATCCTCCAGGTAGGGTGGGCACTAGCCTCCCTGGACCTGCTCGTATAGTAAACACATCCCTCCCCCAGGTTATTCTAGCTAAGTACGCCAGTGATACCATCCTCCAGGCAGGGTGGGCACTAGCCTCCCTGGACCTGCTCGTATAGTAAACTAATCCCTCCCCCAGGTTATTCTAGCTAAGTACGCCAGTGATACCATCCTCCAGGCAGGGTGGGCACTAGCCTCCCTGGACCTGCTCGTATAGTAAACACATCCCTCCCCCAGGTTATTCTAGCTAAGTACGCCAGTGATACCATCCTCCAGGCAGGGTGGGCACTAGCCTCCCTGGACCTGCTCGTATAGTAAACACATCCCTCCCCCAGGTTATTCTAGCTAAGTACGCCAGTGATACCATCCTCCAGGCAGGGTGGGCACTAGCCTCCCTGGACCTGCTCGTATAGTAAACACATCCCTCCCCCAGGTTATTCTAGCTAAGTACGCCAGTGATACCATCCTCCAGGCAGGGTGGGCACTAGCCTCCCTGGACCTGCTCGTATAGTAAACACATCCCTCCCCCAGGTTATTCTAGCTAAGTACGCCAGTGATACCATCCTCCAGGCAGGGTGGGCACTAGCCTCCCTGGACCTGCTCGTATAGTAAACACATCCCTCCCCCAGGTTATTCTAGCTAAGTACGCCAGTGATACCATCCTCCAGGCAGGGTGGGCACTAGCCTCCCTGGACCTGCTCGTATAGTAAACACATCCCTCCCCCAGGTTATTCTAGCTAAGTACGCCAGTGATACCATCCTCCAGGCAGGGTGGGCACTAGCCTCCCTGGACCTGCTCGTATAGTAAACACATCCCTCCCCCAGGTTATTCTAGCTAAGTACGCCAGTGATACCATCCTCCAGGCAGGGTGGGCACTAGCCTCCCTGGACCTGCTCGTATAGTAAACACATCCCTCCCCCAGGTTATTCTAGCTAAGTACGCCAGTGATACCATCCTCCAGGCAGGGTGGGCACTAGCCTCCCTGGACCTGCTCGTATAGTAAACACATCCCTCCCCCAGGTTATTCTAGCTAAGTACGCCAGTGATACCATCCTCCAGGCAGGGTGGGCACTAGCCTCCCTGGACCTGCTCGTATAGTAAACACATCCCTCCCCCAGGTTATTCTAGCTAAGTACGCCAGTGATACCATCCTCCAGGCAGGGTGGGCACTAGCCTCCCTGGACCTGCTCGTATAGTAAACACATCCCTCCCCCAGGTTATTCTAGCTAAGTACGCCAGTGATACCATCCTCCAGGCAGGGTGGGCACTAGCCTCCCTGGACCTGCTCGTATAGTAAACACATCCCTCCCCCAGGTTATTCTAGCTAAGTACGCCAGTGATACCATCCTCCAGGCAGGGTGGGCACTAGCCTCCCTGGACCTGCTCGTATAGTAAACACATCCCTCCCCCAGGTTATTCTAGCTAAGTACGCCAGTGATACCATCCTCCAGGCAGGGTGGGCACTAGCCTCCCTGGACCTGCTCGTATAGTAAACACATCCCTCCCCCAGGTTATTCTAGCTAAGTACGCCAGTGATACCATCCTCCAGGCAGGGTGGGCACTAGCCTCCCTGGACCTGCTCGTATAGTAAACACATCCCTCCCCCAGGTTATTCTAGCTAAGTACGCCAGTGATACCATCCTCCAGGCAGGGTGGGCACTAGCCTCCCTGGACCTGCTCGTATAGTAAACACATCCCTCCCCCAGGTTATTCTAGCTAAGTACGCCAGTGATACCATCCTCCAGGCAGGGTGGGCACTAGCCTCCCTGGACCTGCTCGTATAGTAAACACATCCCTCCCCCAGGTTATTCTAGCTAAGTACGCCAGTGATACCATCCTCCAGGCAGGGTGGGCACTAGCCTCCCTGGACCTGCTCGTATAGTAAACACATCCCTCCCCCAGGTTATTCTAGCTAAGTACGCCAGTGATACCATCCTCCAGGCAGGGTGGGCACTAGCCTCCCTGGACCTGCTCGTATAGTAAACACATCCCTCCCCCAGGTTATTCTAGCTAAGTACGCCAGTGATACCATCCTCCAGGCAGGGTGGGCACTAGCCTCCCTGGACCTGCTCGTATAGTAAACACATCCCTCCCCCAGGTTATTCTAGCTAAGTACGCCAGTGATACCATCCTCCAGGCAGGGTGGGCACTAGCCTCCCTGGACCTGCTCGTATAGTAAACACATCCCTCCCCCAGGTTATTCTAGCTAAGTACGCCAGTGATACCATCCTCCAGGCAGGGTGGGCACTAGCCTCCCTGGACCTGCTCGTATAGTAAACACATCCCTCCCCCAGGTTATTCTAGCTAAGTACGCCAGTGATACCATCCTCCAGGCAGGGTGGGCACTAGCCTCCCTGGACCTGCTCGTATAGTAAACACATCCCTCCCCCAGGTTATTCTAGCTAAGTACGCCAGTGATACCATCCTCCAGGCAGGGTGGGCACTAGCCTCCCTGGACCTGCTCGTATAGTAAACACATCCCTCCCCCAGGTTATTCTAGCTAAGTACGCCAGTGATACCATCCTCCAGGCAGGGTGGGCACTAGCCTCCCTGGACCTGCTCGTATAGTAAACACATCCCTCCCCCAGGTTATTCTAGCTAAGTACGCCAGTGATACCATCCTCCAGGCAGGGTGGGCACTAGCCTCCCTGGACCTGCTCGTATAGTAAACACATCCCTCTCCCAGGTTATTCTAGCTAAGTACGCCAGTGATACCATCCTCCAGGCAGGGTGGGCACTAGCCTCCCTGGACCTGCTCGTATAGTAAACACATCCCTCCCCCAGGTTATTCTAGCTAAGTACGCCAGTGATACCATCCTCCAGGCAGGGTGGGCACTAGCCTCCCTGGACCTGCTCGGCTCGCCTGGTCTCATGATTAGGAGCACACTAACTGGAGTTAGAGATCTGGTGTTCCTGCCTTACGAGGGTCAGTACTGTATCTATATAATACTATACGTGTATCTTCACTTCATAACAACATGTTTACTGTATCAAGAAGCATCCAAAACAAACTGTATGTCACGTGGTGTGAATTGGTCAGTTTATGTCACGTGATGTGATTACTGTGTTCTGATTGGTTAGTTTGTGTCACGTGGTGTGATTACAGTGCTCTGATTGCTTGGTTCGTGTCACATGGTGTGAATACAGTGCTCTGATTGGTTACTTTCTCCCCAGGTCTGACAAGAGGTCCCACTGCGTTTGTGAGTGGTATTGCTGCCGGATCCGCTTCTCTTGCCAGAAATATAGGTTGGTTATTTCTCTCTTTAATATAATTTTGTTTTATCAGGTTTTACAACTGTCTGATAATAAACATTTTCCAAACTTACATAAGCTGAACTGCGGTTGTATTGTTTAAATTACTTAGTTAAGCAGATCAACCAAATAAGTATTTAACTGTTAACACACTGTTAACGCACAGTTAACACTGTTAACGCACTGTTAACACACTGTTAACGTTTAGTTAACACACTCCCTACCAACAGACCCAAATTGTACCCCTGTTTAATATTTATTAAAAAATAACCGTGTCTAATTGTAGGAACAGGAGTAATAACGAGTGTCACTAATCTGGCGGTCAGTATCAGTAGAAATATGGACAGAATGTCTCTGGACGAGGGGTGAGTTGTGACGTCATCATTATCTAATATAACGTCATCGTTATCCTATATGACGTAATCATAACCCTAAATGACGTCATTATTACCCTAAATGACGTCATTATTATTTAATATGACGTCATCGTTACCCTATATGACGTCATCATTATCTGATATGACGTCATCATTACCCTATGATCTTGTAATCCTGATTATCATTATAACATTATAAGTTAACCAATAACACCCCTGTTATTATAACATTATAAGTTACCTAATAACACCTCTGTTCCCAGACACAGGTCCCTGTGTGCGATACACAGGAGGAGTTACAAAGCCTCTCACTTTGGTTCGGGCCTGTCTAAAGGTCTCACAGGACTGGGGTTACACTTGTTATCTGCTGTAGCCGGTCTAGTTCACCAACCTATACAGGTAATGTAGTGTTAATTGCTAGTGTTAGTAATGTTTGGCAGGTTTAGATGAGTAAATAAGTAACAAGTATTGTAATTATTATTATATTATCATTGTTAGTTCACATTTACAAATGTTCAGGATATCGGAGCATCAGATGGGATAGTGGGAGCTACCAGGGGATTAGTAACGGGTGTATCTAAGGGCCTGGTTGGCATGGTAACCAAACCACTGGGAGGAGCAGCAGAGTTGGTAGCTAATACAGGAGAGGGATTGTTAACTGGAGCTGGCTGGACTTTAGCTCCCAGCCCTCTAGTACCAGACCTCAACCAGCTTCTCAAATCAGATACCAGACTCAGGTATACTGTGCTCTGATTGGTTGGTTTGTGTCACGTGGTGTGAATACTGTGCTCTGATTGGTTGGTTTGTGTCACGTGGTGTGTATACTGTGCTCTCATTGGCTGGTTTGTGTCACGTGGTGTGTATACTGTGCTCTGATTGGCTGGTTTGAATCACGTGGTGTGAATACTGTGCTCTGATTGGCTGGTTTGAATCACGTGGTGTGAATACTGTGTTCTGATTGGCTGGTGTGTGTCACGTGGTGTGTATACTGTGCTCTGATTGGCTGGTTTGAATCACGTGGTGTGAAAACTGTGCTCTCATTGGTTGGTTTGTGTCACGTGGTGTGTATACTGTGCTCTGATTGGCTGGTTTGAATCACGTGGTGTGAAAACTGTGCTCTCATTGGTTGGTTTGTGTCACGTGGTGTTAATACTGTGCTCTCATTGGTTGGTTTGTGTCACGTGCTGTGAATACAGCGCTCTGATTGGCTAGTTTATAACCGCCCCATTTTTCAGGGTGGCACTAGAGTTACTGCAGCTGAAGACAGGAGATGATATTCACCTTGTACAGTGTACTGTCACCCCTATTCTTATATACGTCGTTATTAGCCCTGATAAAATGTAAGTAACTTATTATTTAATATTTCATGAATTTTAAACTTACGTAAGCTAAGCATGAAACTTTGGAAGTAAGATTGTTTTATATAACTTCTATACATTTATTATCTAGTTGAAATTATAAACAACTTACCAGGAAGCGTTACCATTAATTTGAAAATGTTGAATATCAATAATTACCTAGTTATTAATGATTAATAATTAACTTGTTGTGTTTCAGATTCCTGTTGCTAGATTCTATTATTCAATGTTTTAACCGGTCCTCTGTACGCTTCGTGTTCGGGCAGTCCAATGTGGCAATCTACTGTCCTGAAAACAAAGGTATGTTACGTTACTATGGTAACGGTGTGTTAAGGGGGGGGGGCCCTTAATTAATTACTTAATAGATTGGTCGATTAATCATTTTGTTGATGAATAAGTTGGAAATTGATTTAAAATAATATCAGATTGTTTGATTAATGTTGATCAGCTATCTAACAAATAAACGTCCCACAGAGGATGAGGCGAGTAAGCTGGACAAGTCACTGCTGGCTAAGATAAACAAGATGTACAACCTACCAAGTGAGGCGGCTCCCTCAGATAGCAGCAGTGATCTTATAGCTACATTACCTCTAGACTTTCCTAAGAGTGTGCTGCTCAACAACCTGCTCTCTACCAAGTGAGGCGGCTCCCTCAGATAGCAGCAGTGATCTTATAGCTACCTTACCTCTAGACTTTCCTAAGAGTGTGCTGCTCAACAACCTGCTCTCTACCAAGTGAGGGGGCTCCCTCAGATAGCAGCAGTGATCTTATAGCTACCTTACCTCTAGACTTTCCTAAGAGCGTGCTACTCAACAACCTGCTCTCTACCAAGTGAGGCGGCTCCCTCAGATAGCAGCAGTGATCTTATAGCTACCTTACCTCTAGACTTTCCTAAGAGTGTGCTGCTCAACAACCTGCTCTCTACCAAGTGAGGCGGCTCCCTCAGATAGCAGCAGTGATCTTATAGCTACCTTACCTCTAGACTTTCCTAAGAGTGTGCTGCTCAACAACCTGCTCACTACCAAGTGAGGGGGCTCCCTCGGATAGCAGCAGTGATCTTATAGCTACCTTACCTCTAGACTTTCCTAAGAGTGTGCTGCTCAACAACCTGCTCTCTACCAAGTGAGGCGGCTCCCTCAGATAGCAGCAGTGATCTTATAGCTACCTTACCTCTAGACTTTCCTAAGAGTGTGCTGCTCAACAACCTGCTCTCTACCAAGTGAGGCGGCTCCCTCAGATAGCAGCAGTGATCTTATAGCTACCTTACCTCTAGACTTTCCTAAGAGTGTGCTGCTCAACAACCTGCTCTCTACCAAGTGAGGCGGCTCCCTCAGATAGCAGCAGTGATCTTATAGCTACCTTACCTCTAGACTTTCCTAAGAGTGTGCTGCTCAACAACCTGCTCTCTACCAAGTGAGGCGGCTCCCTCAGATAGCAGCAGTGATCTTATAGCTACCTTACCTCTAGACTTTCCTAAGAGTGTGCTGCTCAACAACCTGCTCTCTACCAAGTGAGGCGGCTCCCTCAGATAGCAGCAGTGATCTTATAGCTACCTTACCTCTAGACTTTCCTAAGAGTGTGCTGCTCAACAACCTGCTCTCTACCAAGTGAGGCGGCTCCCTCAGATAGCAGCAGTGATCTTATAGCTACCTTACCTCTAGACTTTCCTAAGAGTGTGCTGCTCAACAACCTGCTCTCTACCAAGTGAGGCGGCTCCCTCAGATAGCAGCAGTGATCTTATAGCTACCTTACCTCTAGACTTTCCTAAGAGTGTGCTGCTCAACAACCTGCTCACTACCAAGTGAGGCGGCTCCCTCAGATAGCAGCAGTGATCTTATAGCTACCTTACCTCTAGACTTTCCTAAGAGTGTGCTACTCAACAACCTGCTCTCTACCAAGTGAGGGGGCTCCCTCAGATAGCAGCAGTGATCTTATAGCTACCTTACCTCTAGACTTTCCTAAGAGCGTGCTACTCAACAACCTGCTCTCTACCAAGTGAGGCGGCTCCCTCAGATAGCAGCAGTGATCTTATAGCTACCTTACCTCTAGACTTTCCTAAGAGTGTGCTGCTCAACAACCTGCTCTCTACCAAGTGAGGGGGCTCCCTCGGATAGCAGCAGTGATCTGATAGCTACCTTACCTTTAGACTTTCCTAAGAGCGTGCTACTCAACAACCTGCTCTCAAAATATTAGAGTGTTGCTATGGTAACTGCTGGAGTAGTTGCTATGGTAACTGCTGGAGTAGTTGCTATAGTAACTGCTAGAGTAGTTGCTATGGTAACTGCTGGAGTAGTTGCTATGGTAACTGCTGGAGTAGTTGCTATGGTAACTGCTGGAGTAGTTGCTATGGTAACTGCTGGAGTAGTTGTAGTAGTAGTGTATTAGTAACGTGTATAATGGACTCTGGTTTGACACGTGATACAGATTTTTCAACTTATTCCAGAATTTTTGCAGACTTGTTAAGATGATTTTCAGAGTCTGTTTTCAACGACTCAAATAAACGGATAATAAATACGGATTGTATTAAATGTAACGATGAGTTAACATTCATAATACTGAGTTAACATTGAACGCTGAGTTAACATTGAACGTTGAATTAACATTGATAATGCTGTGTTAACATTGAACGCTGATTTAACATTGATAATACTGTGCATGTTTTTAATTTTCTCGCTGGTTCTGTCTTGGGAAGCTGTGCTATAGACTATACTACTATACTATAGTATAGTGTAATATAGTCGCATAATTTATTTTGAGATTTCTCTCATCTCTGCACTTCTCTATTTATCAGTTTACATCTATATTTATTAGTGGTACAACCTGCATACTTGTAATTTCAGTTTTGTAGAAAGTTTATTATTAGAGTTGGGATCAATATTTTTAATAAATCTGTTTAGATATGGAGTTGTAGTTGTACTTATACAGAAATACGCAATTTGATTATTTTTCTTTGAAAGTGCGAATTTGATTTCGATTACTCGAAGAGTTTTTTGCCAAACTTTTTTGGGGGAGGGGAGGGGGTGTAATTATTTATTTTGCAACTATTAAATATTTTTGCAATACTAACATAGTCATTAACGGTCATTCGTGAATCATGGGAGTCAAGAGATAAAAACAGATCCGCGGTTATCGTTACTGCGCCTCCTAACGATAGCAAATCCAGTAAAAGCCCCTTTTTGTGACCGATTTGTAAACAAAAGAAACGGTCTCACTGTGAGCATTGAGACTCTAACTCTAACCGGTCAAGCCTTGCTACACGTTGCATACCTCTCTCTTACCTGGGGACCTCAGGCTATTATATTTATTTTCATAATCTCTATTCGGCGGAATGACAGGCTGAGTGCGGCCCAGTTGTAGCGCGATGCACTACTGGGTCGCGCGCGCATCAAATAATGCTTCTCGCAACCACAGATGCAGATCGGCGAGATGCGAAGGATTGACATCAAGCGGCCCAGTAAACCTCTCGTGCACTTCGGCCAGCGAGAAAGCCTTTTGCGGCCGGCCGGCCGCCGCACGCTTCGCGCGCTATCAAAAGGGGTTGCATGCAGCGTGTGTCAAGTCAAGCCCTAAACAATCGAGTTCGTGTTTTACTAGCCTGTCCTGATAATGATATGAACAAAACGATTTTGCTTATAAATAACTCCTGAGCTTGAGGTCAGAAAATTAACGGGTAAAACCCGTACATCACAGTGCTGGCATTAAGACTAGGGGGTGCACAATTTAGTAGGAGCGGCAGTCAGCAGCAATTTCTTTGCACTGTAGTCTCCCTGTGTGGGGGCCGGGGGTGATTCGAAATCAGCGTCCAAAAATACTCCGAACAAAATTACTTTCATACCTTCAGCCAGGGCCTTTTTAACGGGTGATACTCGTAAATTTAAAATATTTGTTTCGACGAGTCCAACTCGGCGCGCGTCCTAGTAGGTTATAACTTATAAACCTACAAGGGCCTTTTCACAAAAAAATTTTTTAAATTTGGGCGGTTGATTTATTGTATCACGTTGCGACCCCCACGGTCGTTGTGACCCCCCTATATCGTCTTGACGATACAGGGGAGCCGCGCACTCGTGCGCGGCGGGTCATACAACGTATGACAAGTGATTTTCATTTAGTGGCAGCTCAACCATTTTTAATGAACTAGCCCGTCGCGCGCTACTTCGTAGCACTTGCCTCGGGCATTTCGAGAAGAAAGCGGCACGCGCGCTACTTCGAAGAAATTTAGACGAGTAACATCCGTTAAGTCAAAGTTGTATGTTTATAACCTACCAGGACGCGCGCCGAGTTGGACTCGTCGACGCGGACGGTCATATTTGAAACAAATGTCGTTTTACCAGTATCGTGGCCACGATACAGCCGCGCACTTGTATACAACGTATTACAAATCAAGAGGCTTGCATATAATGAACATATTGACACGGGTGCAGAGTTGAGTCTGTACGGAACCTAGTAGTTTCAGTTCCTTGTTTAACTTGCCGTACAGCAAGGACATCCACTACTTTAGCCCGGCGAGGCACATAACTCACTCTACAACTCCATGTCATGTCAAATGTTTCATATATACTAGCCAAGTTCACAAAATATATCCTTGTGTTTGAGAAGCGTTCGTTAGAACGGCTTTTTTTTCTTCAACGATTACCTCCATTGCATCACGTACGCTTAGATTCATGGTTAATTGACGATGTCAATTCATCTCAGCTCGGCGTGGCACAGTAGCGCATCTCGCCGATCTAGAGAGGTGAGAAGCCTCATTGAGTGCGCGGCGTGGCACAGTAACGCATCGCGCTACAAACTCATGGCTATGTGAATCTGTTTTGCAACAGATTTTCGTAAAGTATATTTATGTATATAAATATTGCCAATACATAATATATTTAATTTACGATGTCAATTTATTTTGTCATACGTTGTTATATGAGTGCGCGGCTCCCCCTGTATCGTCACCATAGTGAAACGACCGTGGGGGTCGCAACGTGATACACAATTTATCGCAGCTCGGCGACGCCAGTAGCGCATTTCGCCTATCTAGCGAGGTGTGGTTACGAGAAGCATAATTGAGTGCGCGGCCCGGCCCATGAACGCATTGCGCTACAACTAATATATGTTTAAATTTAAAACCATTACATTCTTACCTTATATTCTTACTGTCATAGCAGTGACTAGGAATAGCTCAACTCTAATAACTAGATCAAACATCTCGTGACAATTATTACAGTTTTAATACTGTCATAACAAGGACTAGGAATAGCTCAACTCTAACAACTAGATCAAACATCTCGTGAGAATTATTACAGTTTTAATACTGTCATAGCAAGGACTAGGAATAGGGAAACAGGAGAAAAAGCTACAGACCATCAAGGTAGAATTAAAAGAATCATTTACCTAATACTTTTTAACAGTCACAGAGTTTTATAATAAAACTTTGTAAGAATTTTGATCGTTCTTTAAAGTTGTGTTTTGTTAACATCATATTTTGTATTTCTCGACTCAAAAAAAGCATGATTATGTAACAAACGAATCTTTTATCATCAAAAGCAAATCATGCTTTACTGCCGGTTTACTATACGACTGAAGTGCACAATTGTATGGAAAAGTAAATTTATTCTCAATAATACGGGAGGAGGTGTTCTTACAAAATTGTACTAATATCACCCCCGTAGGTATACCGGTACCGGTACACCGTTATAGGTACTGGTTTATTCTCTACTAAATATCGCTCATGTATAATATCGTCTCCCATGCTATTAATGTGCCAAGTTCGAATTTGGTTTCTTGCACTTTACTTATATATAATATTTTGCTTCCTGTAAACTGGTATGTTAGGAAGCAAAAGAGGCTGTTTAATGTAACTTCAGGAAGGCGCGACTGTGAAAATAGTTGAGAAAACTACGCGCATTAATGCTAAAATGTGATGCTTTTGGCGGAGATATAAACTGCGCCTATCAGTTAAAATTAAAAATCTTAGGAGAGAGATTTAGTGCCGGGACCGATTTTTCTCTCGCTGTGGGCTTGATTGACGACGTCTCACGTCAACCTTTTCAGATCGTTGCTTTGCTTTGCTTCGATGCGAAGCAATAATGATAGTTAGCGCGGCGCGTCGAAGCGGCGAAGTCCTCCAAGCTGTGGGTCTGCCTTTCACCTATGTTTGTCCCTGTCCCTGTCCCTGTCCCTGTCCCTGTCCCTGTCCCTGTCCCTGTCCCTGTCCCTGTCCCTGTCCCTGTCCCTGTCCCTGTCCCTGTCCCTGTCCCTGTCCCTGTCCCTGTCCCTGTCCCTGTCCCTGTCCCTGTCCCTGTCCCTGTCCCTGTCCCTGTCCCTGTCCCTGTCCCTGTCCCTGTCCCTGTCCCTGTCCCTGTCCCTGTCCCTGTCCCTGTCCCTGTCCCTGTCCCTGTCCCTGTCCCTGTCCCTGTCCCTGTCCCTGTCCCTGTCCCTGTCCCTGTCCCTGTCCCTGTCCCTGTCCCTGTCCCTGTCCCTGTCCCTGTCCCTGTCCCTGTCCCTGTCCCTGTCCCTGTCCCTGTCCCTGTCCCTGTCCCTGTCCCTGTCCCTGTCCCTGTCCCTGTCCCTGTCCCTGTCCCTGTCCCTGTCCCTGTCCCTGTCCCTGTCCCTGTCCCTGTCCCTGTCCCTGTCCCTGTCCCTGTCCCTGTCCCTGTCCCTGTCCATGTCCCTGTCCCTGTCCCTGTCCCTGGCCCTGGCCCTGGCCCTGGCCCTGTCCCTGTCCCTGTCCCTGTCCCTGTCCCTGTCCCTGTCCCTGTCCCTGTCCCTGTCCCTGTCCCTGTCCCTGTCCCTGTCCCTGTCCCTGGCCCTGGCCCTGGCCCTGTCCCTGTCCCTGTCCCTGTCCCTGTCCCTGTCCCTGTCCCTGTCCCTGTCTCTGTCCCTGTCCCTGTCCCTGTCCCTGTCCCTGTCCCTGTCCCTGTCCCTATCCCTCTCCCAGGTGCTCTAAAACGGAGCGATCAAATTACAGAACACACTGCTAATACTTCATATCATACGACTATAGAAATATAGAATTTCATGTTGTAATTGGTTTGCTGGGATCCACCTCTATGACTTTCACAATGGCTTATGTGCAAAAAACTTACCATTTTTGGAGATCAGCCAAATTGCTCGGTGTTTTTATTATACAGATACTAACACACTATTACTTGTGTTTCTATTTAGCGCTCCTTTTGTGGTTGTAACATGAACCAGCATCCAAGTTCGTCGTCCAAACAATTAAAGTTACTGTTTTTTATTTTATTTTGATTTTGTGGTTTTTCTTGTGTACCACTATATACCTGTTTACATGGATGAGAGTTATTTATTTGTTTGTGCTTCAACTGTTCAATGATTCACGATTATAGCTTAGAAACCATGACTGTCAACCTTGTACTCTGCATATCTGTCTGTACTATTACAGCCCGGTATGTCCAGGAGGCCCGGTGTTATCAATAGTGTTGTGAATACCCTACAGCCATCCTACAACCACAGGCTGAACACTTATTCAAATGAGATCAGAGAGGAATGTTATTACTAGAGCCTGGAGCTGAAGGAATGTGTGTCGTAATGATTTCCACAGATCAGCTTATTAGTGGAATGCAGTAGTTTGGGCCATGATATCAAATTCCACTGAAGGCCCTGATCCAATATTACTTTACATTAGTTACATAAACCTGAGAATAAGCTCCATTGTTCTCCAATTCATTGTTATTCGTTACGTTAACTTGATACTGTACACATTGATTAAGGTACACGGTTTTAGTAAGGCAATTAGTGATTAGTCTAGTTTCTAGACATCACCAGTACAACATCACCAGTTATCATGCTCTTCTTTTGTTTCTCCCATCAGATATGCCTTGCTTCCAGTTCCTCGTATTGTATTTAAGTATTTACAGCCACCATTCAACCTTCTTACAAGTTACAACCATCCTATAGGCTATACACTGTATACTGTATAGGGTATAGTATACAGCTACCTGCAGGAACCAATAATGCCTGTACACGCATAAAGTATAAATTATGCAGTGGTTTAGTTGCTAACCTGGCAGCATGCCAGCCTCTATTTTACCTGGCGGCGTGCCAGCCTCTATTTTACCTGGCGGCGTGCCAGCCTCTATTTTACCTGGCGGCGTGCCAGCCTCTATTTTACTTGGCGGCGTGTGAGCTTCTATTTTACTTGGCGGCGTGCCATCCTCTATTTTACTTGGCAGCGTGTGAGCCTCTATTTTACCTGGCGGCGTGCCAGCCTCTATTTTACTTGGCGTCGTGCCAGCCTCTATTTTACCTGGCGGCGTGCCAGCCTCTATTTTACTTGGCGTCGTGCCAGCCTCTATTTTACTCGGCGTCGTGCCAGCCTCTATTTTACCTGGCGGCGTGCCAGCCTCTAATTTACCTGGCGGCGTGCCAGCCTCTATTTTACTTGGCGTCGTGCCAGCCTCTATTTTACTTGGCGTCGTGCCAGCCTCTATTTTACTTGGCGGCGTGCCAGCCTCTATTTTACTTGGCGGCGTGCCAGCCTCTATTTTACTTGGCGTCGTGCCAGCTTCTATTTTACTTGGCGGCGTGCCAGCCTCTATTTTACCTGGCGGCGTGCCAGCCTCTATTTTACTTGGCGGCGTGCCAGCCTCTATTTTACTTGGCGTCGTGTCAGCCTCTATTTTACTCGGCGTCGTGCCAGCTTCTATTTTACTTGGCGGCGTGCCAGCCTCTATTTTACCTGGCGTCGTGTCAGCCTCTATTTTACTTGGCGGCGTGCCAGCCTCTATTTTACTTGGCGTCGTGTCAGCCTCTATTTTACCACTTTACACTCCACGTGGGGCAGTGATCATTTGTCTTCAAATTGTCGCTGAAACCTTTACTAAGTTACTAGCTGTCAGAGGTAAGATTCTCTGATCGTTACCATTACCCAATATAGCAAGCCCCGCTTATTCCACACTTGTTAAATTATATTGTTGCTCTGTGTTAAAGTTTTGTTAGTAATTATCATAATTGTTATTTTTTATTTGTACCTATGCTATGGATATTGGATATACTAGTTAAGTATTCTGGTTGCAGATATTGGATATGCGTATAGCTTTCTAGTTAACGTTGTATTGTATGTGTACTACATTTGACCAATGTGGTTTAGCAAAGATCTGGGTATCACACTCAATCATTACTCATTTTCTAAAGGGCCAATTAGCGAATCAAACTGATTAATATGATTCGCCTCTCGCCGAAATATGTCAAGAGTTTTGGTTACTAAACTTATAAGGTTATGAGGTACACTCAAATCCTGCTACTTACAAATCAGCTCTATTTATAAAGTTATTAATCAATATTCACTGCAATGAACCTTGTGAACTGTTCTAGCGTATTATTATTGGCACATTATAATAAGTAGTAATAATATATAAAAATATATGTATATATTATATAAAATAGTAGGAATCTGTGGTTTATCACAATGATGACTACAGTACTAGTGATATATAGTAGTAGTAGTAGTAGTATTAGAATATTAGTCTGTTAAAGTGTTATAAAAGTCCGCAGAGTCTGTTAAAGTCCGCAGAGTCTGTTAAAGTCCGCAGAGTCTGTTAAAGTCCGCAGAGTCTGTTAAAGTCCGCAGAGTCTGTTAAAGTCCGCAGAGTCTGTTAAAGTCCGCAGAGTCTGTTAAAGTCCGCAGAGTCTGTTAAAGTCCGCAGAGTCTGTTAAAGTCCGCAGAGTCTGTTAAAGTCCGTAGATTCTGTTAAAGTCCGCAGAGTCTGTTAAAGTCCGCAGAGTCTGTTAAAGTCCGCAGAGTCTGTTAAAGTCCGCAGAGTCTGTTAAAGTCCGCAGAGTCTGTTAAAGTCCGCAGAGTCTGTTAAAGTCCGCAGAGTCTGTTAAAGTCCGCAGAGTCTGTTAAAGTCCGCAGAGTCTGTTAAAGTCCGCAGAGTCTGTTAAAGTCCGCAGAGTCTGTTAAAGTCTGCTGAGTCTGTGAGAACCCCTAAATCACAAAATACACATTCTCTAGAAACTGAACCCTTGTAAACATCATTACAAATAGAACACTAGTATATAATATAATAGTCCCATTACGAACATTAGATTTTGTTTGCAAAACATCGCTTTTGTAAAGGTATTAGGTGTGTTTGTTGTAATAACATGCACCTAATACCCTCATATTCGCTGTTTGATTATTGCCACTTACTGTTAAATTGACTCTTCGCGTGCGTGCGTGCGTGCGTGCGTGTCGGTAATTTCCGAACGGCTTAATCAAGAAAAGGGTTAAAGTTGTCGGACTGGTTTTTTTTCAGTATAGTTTCGACAAAACTATCTCTCTCTCTCTCTCTCTCTCTCTCTCTCTCTCTCTCTCTCTCTCTCTCTCTCTCTCTCTCTCTCTCTCTCTCTCTCTCTCTCTCTCTCTCTCTCTCTCTCTCTCTCTCTCTCTCTCTCTCTCTCTCTCTCTCTCTCTCTCTCTCTCTCTCTCTCTCTCTCTCTCTCTCTCTCTCTCTCTCTCTCTCTCTCTCTCTCTCTCTCTCTCTCTCTCTCTCTCTCTCTCTCTCTCTCTCTCTCTCTCTCTCTCTCTCTCTCTCTCTCTCTCTCTCTCTCTCTCTCTCTCTCTCTCTCTCTCTCTCTCTCTCTCTCTCTCTCTCTCTCTCTCTCTCTCTCTCTCTCTCTCTCTCTCTCTCTCTCTCTCTCTCTCTCTCTCTCTCTCTCTCTCTCTCTCTCTCTCTCTCTCTCTCTCTCTCTCTCTCTCTCTCTCTCTCTCTCTCTCTCTCTCTCTCTCTCTCTCTCTCTCTCTCTCTCTCTCTCTCTCTCTCTCTCTCTCTCTCTCTCTCTCTCTCTCTCTCTCTCTCTCTCTCTCTCTCTCTCTCTCTCTCTCTCTCTCTCTCTCTCTCTCTCTCTCTCTCTCTCTCTCTCTCTCTCTCTCTCTCTCTCTCTCTCTCTCTCTCTCTCTCTCTCTCTCTCTCTCTCTCTCTCTCTCTCTCTCTCTCTCTCTCTCTCTCTCTCTCTCTCTCTCTCTCTCTCTTTCAACTGCGAAGTCCCTGCCGTAGGCGCGGGTTACACTAGTAATACTATAACAAATGTATAATATATTGCTATATAATACCATATAATACCATATAACACTATTTTATACTATATTACAATACTATATAATACTATATAATACTATATAATAATGCTATATAATACTAAACGCTCCAAGCTTGTATGATAACATCATTTCCTGGTCCATGTAGCTCTTAGTTAAAGAGCTTTGTAGTAGCAATAGTAGTAGCTGTGTTGCTGTAGTTTGTAGTTCTGTTGCTGTAGTTTGTAGTTCTGTAGTAGTAGTAGTTTGTAGTTCTTGCGCGAGAGAGAATTGTTATGTTGTGGTGTTTCTTTGTACATAATATATAACTGCGTAGTTTATCTTTCGTTATATTTTTTTTAAAGAGTTCTCACAGAACATTGTTTTTCAAGCTCTCAGTTTTTAGACTGATTTTTGACAGTGTCAAACTGATTTGCTGTAAGCTGATTGGTTAATCTACATTTATGTAACACTACCATATAAGGTATCGGTAACATTACTATATAAGGTAGTGTTACCATGGTAACACTAAATATCCTAGTAGGCTTACTATTTATTTAGTTACTATATAACGCGAGCAACAGTAGTATTGTTATATATAACTACATGATATTATTATCTAACAAAACATAACATAAACCTAATAAACACCATCCAATATGTTTATAAGATGTGTATCAGTGAAATAAAATATAAACAGTTGTACACTATCTGTCACTAGTTCAATGTGATGTGGGTTACTCGCTCTGTGTAAAAGCTTTGTTTGTACCACTGTTAATGTTATTATGTTATGTTATATGTTATGTTATGTTATATCCATTGTTACTATTTTAGGTTATCAATACATTTGTTGTTATTTGATGTGTTTATTCTAAGTTTTGTGTGTGAATTTCTTTGCTTGTCGTGTAGTAGTGTCGTGTAACAGTTTGTGCAGCGCAACTGGCCATCGCAGAAAACAGTTCGATAACTAGCGCTGGATAGCGACAACTAGCGCTGGATAGCGACAACTAGCGCTGGCCAGCGCTAAGCGATAGCCAGCGCTGGCCATCGATTGCCAGCGCAAAATGTTTGCGATATTACTCGTCAGCTAGCGCTGGCCAGCGCTAGCCAGCGCTAGCCAGCGCTAACCAGCGCTAACCAGCGCTAACCAGCCAGCACAATGTATCAACATCATATACTTGCGATATTACTCGTCAGCCAGCGCTGGCCAGCGCAAAATATGAAAATCAAATATTTGCGATATTAAGCTCGTCAGCCAGCACTGGCCAGCGCAATATAGTTGCAATAATAATATTATTCGTCAGCTAGCGCTAGCCAGCGCAATGCCAATAACTCAAAATCAAATATTTGCGAAATTATTAATCGTCAGCTGACGCTGACTGACCAGCGCAATATATTTGCAATATTTCTTGTCAGCTTAACGGGTGATACTCGTAAAATTGGAAATATTTTTTCAAATCCAAGTCCAACTCGGTGAGCAAATATTTGTAAAACTAAAGGTACGGTTATAAACCTACATTTACATTTACAATCGTTAGCGTTGGCTTACTACTACTAGCTGGGCGGAGCTCAACTTACTGGGCGGCGCTCAGCCTGTCATTCCACCGAATTTCTATTCTAATAGTAATATCGCAAGTATATAGTAATATCGCAAGTATATGATTTTGATACATTGCGCTGGCCAGCGCTGGCTAGCGCTAGCTAGCGCTAGCTGACGAGTAATATCGCAAAAATTTTGCGCTGGCTATCGCTTAGCGCTGGCCAGCGCTGGCCAGCGCTAGTTGTCGCTATCCAGCGCTAGTTGTCGCGTTTTGACTATCGCAAAAGAACCCACACTCGTGCAACACACGTCTAACACACGAGTGTAAAAGCTTCAACATATAAGTTTGTTTTACAAATTTAAAAATTAATTGCGGAGCTCTTTTATTTTCACGAAATTAACGACGATAACGGAAAGTATTACCGTGGTAATATGGTTTTTATGGAACTGTTTTTATGGTACTGTTACCATGGTAATATTGCCTTGTATGGTAGTTTTAACATGGTAATATTGCCTTATATGGTAGTGTTACCATGGTGATATTACCTAATATGGTGGTGTTACCATGGTGATATTGCCACATCTAACTTGTAACTACAGTTAGGTAGGATGAAGTGAGAGTGTGTGTTAACATGGTAATGTTCTACAATGGGTGAAGTTAAGAGATCTGATTCTAAAGGTGATATCAGCAAGATACTAGATGATATACGAGGTGAGTTTACTTTAAGGGGGGGGGGGGGGGGGGGGAGTTTACTTAAACCGCTATCAAAGGGTCAGTTACTGGCTGTAAGGGTCAGTTACTGGCTGTAAGGGTCAGTTACTGGCTGTAAGGGTCAGTTACTGGCTGTAAGGGTCAGTTACTGGCTGTAAGTTATCTGCACATTACCTTATATGGTAGTGTTACCAGGGTAGCATTACCTTATATGGTAGTGTTACCATGGTAGCATTACCTTATTATTATGATAGTGTTACCATGGTAGCATTACCTTATATGGTAGTGTCACTGTTAACCATCTTGTGTATATACCAGGTATAGTACACGGCAACAAAGAAACACTAGATGGACTAAAAGCAATAAAACAGAAGAATGAGGAAACTTCCAAAGTTAAGACGAGGGTTGATATCCCATCTGTAGTGTCCGGGTTTAAGAGGTTAGTTAATAATGTCCGGGTTTAAGAGGTTAGTTAATAATGTCCGGGTTTAAGAGGTTAGCTAATAATGTCCGGGTTTAAGAGGTTAGCTAATAATGTCCGGGTTTAAGAAGTTAGCTAATAGTGTCCGGGTTTAAGAGGTTAGTTAATAATGTCCGGGTTTAAGAGGTTAGTTAATAATGTCCGGGTTTCAGAGGTTAGATAATAGTGTCCGGGTTTAAGAGGTTAGCTAATAATGTCCGGGTTTAAGAGGTTAGCTAATAGTGTCCGGGCTTAAGAGGTTAGCTAATAGTGTCCGGGTTTAAGAGGTTAGCTAATAATGTCCAGGTTTAAGAGGTTAGCTAATAGTGTCCGGGTTTAAGAGGTTAGTTAATAGTGTCCGGGTTTAAGAGGTTAGTCAATAATGTCCGGGTTTAAGAGGTTAGCTAATAGTGTCCGGGTTTAAGAGGTTAGCTAATAGTGTCCGGGTTTAAGAGGTTAGCTAATAGTGTCCGGGTTTAAGAGGTTAGCTAATAATGTCTGGGTTTAAGAGGTTAGCTAATAATGTCCGGGTTTAAGAGGTTAGCTAATAGTGTCCGGGCTTAAGAGGTTAGCTAATAGTGTCCGGGTTTAAGAGGTTAGCTAATAATGTCCAGGTTTAAGAGGTTAGCTAATAGTGTCCAGGTTTAAGAGGTTAGTTAATAATGTCCGGGTTTAAGAGGTTAGCTAATAGTGTCCGGGTTTAAGAGGTTAGCTAATAGTGTCCGGGTTTAAGAGGTTAGCTAATAATGTCCGGGTTTAAGAGGTTAGCTAATAGTGTCCGGGTTTAAGAGGTTAGCTAATAGTGTCCGGGTTTAAGAGGTTAGCTAATAGTGTCCGGGTTTAAGAGGTTAGCTAATAATGTCCAGGTTTAAGAGGTTAGCTAATAGTGTCCGGGTTTAAGAGGTTAGTTAATAGTGTCCGGGTTTAAGAAGTTAGTCAATAATGTCCGGGTTTAAGAGGTTAGCTAATAGTGTCCGGGTTTAAGAGGTTAGCTAATAGTGTCCGGGTTTAAGAGGTTAGCTAATAGTGTCCGGGTTTAAGAGGTTAGCTAATAGTGTCCGGGTTTAAGAGGTTAGTTAATAATGTCCGGGTTTAAGAGGTTAGCTAATAGTGTCCGGGTTTAAGAGGTTAGCTAATAGTGTCCGGGTTTAAGAGGTTAGCTAATAGTGTCCGGGTTTAAGAGGTTAGCTAATAGTGTCCGGGCTTAAGAGGTTAGCTAATAGTGCCCGGGTTTAAGAGGTTAGTTAATAATGTCCGGGTTTAAGAGGTTAGCTAATAATGTCCGGGTTTAAGAGGTTAGCTAATAGTGTCCGGGTTTAAGAGGTTAGCTAATAATGTCCGGGTTTAAGAGGTTAGCTAATAATGTCCGGGTTTAAGAGGTAAGCTAATAATGTCCGGGTTTAAGAGGTTAGCTAATAGTGTCCGAGTTTAAGAGGTTAGCTAATAGTGTCCAGGTTTAAGAGGTTAGTTAATAATGTCCGGGTTTAAGAGGTTAGCTAATAGTGTCCGGGTTTAAGAGGTTAGCTAATAATGTCCGGGTTTAAGAGGTTAGTTAGTAGTGTCCGGGTTTAAGAGGTTAGTTAATAATGTCCGGGTTTAAGAGGTTAGTTAATAATGTCCGGGTTTAAGAGGTAAGCTAATAATGTCCGGGTTTAAGAGGTTAGCTAATAATGTCCGGGTTTAAGAGGTTAGCTAATAGTGTCCAGGTTTAAGAAGTTAGCTAATAATGTCCGGGTTTAAGAGGTTAGCTAATAATGTCCGGGTTTAAGAGGTTAGCTAATAATGTCCGGGTTTAAGAAGTTAGCTAATAGTGTCCGGGTTTAAGAGGTTAGTTAATAATGTCCGGGTTTAAGAGGTTAGTTAATAATGTCCGGGTTTCAGAGGTTAGATAATAGTGTCCGGGTTTAAGAGGTTAGCTAATAATGTCCGGGTTTAAGAGGTTAGCTAATAGTGTCCGGGCTTAAGAGGTTAGCTAATAGTGTCCGGGTTTAAGAGGTTAGCTAATAATGTCCAGGTTTAAGAGGTTAGCTAATAGTGTCCGGGTTTAAGAGGTTAGTTAATAGTGTCCGGGTTTAAGAGGTTAGTCAATAATGTCCGGGTTTAAGAGGTTAGCTAATAGTGTCCGGGTTTAAGAGGTTAGCTAATAGTGTCCGGGTTTAAGAGGTTAGCTAATAGTGTCCGGGTTTAAGAGGTTAGCTAATAATGTCTGGGTTTAAGAGGTTAGCTAATAATGTCCGGGTTTAAGAGGTTAGCTAATAGTGTCCGGGCTTAAGAGGTTAGCTAATAGTGTCCGGGTTTAAGAGGTTAGCTAATAATGTCCAGGTTTAAGAGGTTAGCTAATAGTGTCCAGGTTTAAGAGGTTAGTTAATAATGTCCGGGTTTAAGAGGTTAGCTAATAGTGTCCGGGTTTAAGAGGTTAGCTAATAGTGTCCGGGTTTAAGAGGTTAGCTAATAATGTCCGGGTTTAAGAGGTTAGCTAATAGTGTCCGGGTTTAAGAGGTTAGCTAATAGTGTCCGGGTTTAAGAGGTTAGCTAATAGTGTCCGGGTTTAAGAGGTTAGCTAATAATGTCCAGGTTTAAGAGGTTAGCTAATAGTGTCCGGGTTTAAGAGGTTAGTTAATAGTGCCCGGGTTTAAGAAGTTAGTCAATAATGTCCGGGTTTAAGAGGTTAGCTAATAGTGTCCGGGTTTAAGAGGTTAGCTAATAGTGTCCGGGTTTAAGAGGTTAGCTAATAGTGTCCGGGTTTAAGAGGTTAGCTAATAGTGTCCGGGTTTAAGAGGTTAGTTAATAATGTCCGGGTTTAAGAGGTTAGCTAATAGTGTCCGGGTTTAAGAGGTTAGCTAATAGTGTCCGGGTTTAAGAGGTTAGCTAATAGTGTCCGGGTTTAAGAGGTTAGCTAATAGTGTCCGGGCTTAAGAGGTTAGCTAATAGTGCCCGGGTTTAAGAGGTTAGTTAATAATGTCCGGGTTTAAGAGGTTAGCTAATAATGTCCGGGTTTAAGAGGTTAGCTAATAGTGTCCGGGTTTAAGAGGTTAGCTAATAATGTCCGGGTTTAAGAGGTTAGCTAATAATGTCCGGGTTTAAGAGGTAAGCTAATAATGTCCGGGTTTAAGAGGTTAGCTAATAGTGTCCGAGTTTAAGAGGTTAGCTAATAGTGTCCAGGTTTAAGAGGTTAGTTAATAATGTCCGGGTTTAAGAGGTTAGCTAATAGTGTCCGGGTTTAAGAGGTTAGCTAATAATGTCCGGGTTTAAGAGGTTAGTTAATAGTGTCCGGGTTTAAGAGGTTAGTTAATAATGTCCGGGTTTAAGAGGTTAGTTAATAATGTCCGGGTTTAAGAGGTAAGCTAATAATGTCCGGGTTTAAGAGGTTAGCTAATAATGTCCGGGTTTAAGAGGTTAGCTAATAGTGTCCAGGTTTAAGAAGTTAGCTAATAATGTCCGGGTTTAAGAGGTTAGCTAATAATGTCCGGGTTTAAGAGGTTAGTTAATAATGTCCGGGTTTAAGAGGTTAGCTAATAGTGTCCGGGTTTAAGAGGTTAGCTAATAGTGTCCGGGTTTAAGAGGTTAGCTAATAGTGTCCGGGTTTAAAAGGTTAGCTAATAGTGTCCGGGTTTAAGAGGTTAGCTAATAATGTCCGGGTTTAAGAGGTTAGCTAATAGTGTCCGGGTTTAAGAGGTTAGCTTATAATGTCCGGGTTTAAGAGGTTAGCTAATAATGTCCGGGTTTAAGAGGTTAGTTAATAGTGTCCGGGTTTAAGAAGTTAGCTAATAGTGTCCGGGTTTAAGAGGTTAGCTAATAATGTCCGGGTTTAAGAGGTTAGCTAATAGTGTCCGGGTTTAAGAGGTTAGCTAATAATGTCCGGGTTTAAGAGGTTAGCTAATAGTGTCCAGGTTTAAGAAGTTAGCTAATAGTGTCCGGGTTTAAGAGGTTAGCTAATAATGTCCGGGTTTAAGAGGTTAGCTTATAATGTCCGGGTTTAAGAGGTTAGCTAATAATGTCCGGGTTTAAGAGGTTAGTTAATAGTGTCCGGGTTTAAGAAGTTAGCTAATAGTGTCCGGGTTTAAGAGGTTAGCTAATAGTGTCCGGGTTTAAGAGGTTAGCTAATAATGTCCGGGTTTAAGAGGTTAGCTTATAATGTCCGGGTTTAAGAGGTTAGTTAATAGTGTCCGGGTTTAAGAGGTTAGCTAATAGTGTCCGGGTTTAAGAGGTTAGCTAATAATGTCCGGGTTTAAGAGGTTAGCTTATAATGTCCGGGTTTAAGAGGTTAGTTAATAGTGTCCGGGTTTAAGAAGTTAGCTAATAGTGTCCGGGTTTAAGAGGTTAGCTAATAATGTCCGGGTTTAAGAGGTTAGCTTATAATGTCCGGGTTTAAGAGGTTAGCTAATAATGTCTGGGTTTAAGAGGTTAGCTAACATTAAACCTCTGGGTTTAAGAGTATTTGTTTTTAAATTTTGTATTGAAATCTTTTAAATCGATCAATTACATACAAATAACACAATGGAATAAACTACAAAATATATGTACTTTGGGAGAAAGTGTGGATTTGCAAGCTAGTTTATTATGCAAAATACTTAAAATGTATGTAATCAAATGACTTGATATCGAGTGCAGATGCAACTCCTGTACAAGCATGGGCCCACCCGAAATCAGATATAACCCCACAATTAATTACTAATCAAGTTAATCATCAATAAAATAAATTACCAATCCAGTCAATTAATAATCAAATCATATGATATTTATGAATTATGAAAATAATGGAATGAGATGAGATGAAATGCAGCTAAAATTTTCAAGTTTATAGTACCATGCAATGGCCACCAAACATACACCACGCATATTATATCGATGAGTTCACGCAAAAAGAACAAGAGAAAAAAGAAATTAATTAAGTTAAAACACGAAAGTTTGCAAAATAACTATGTATTCACAGGCCGATAGGGTAAAACATGAGCCAGCTGCCAGATTATAGATAATGAGTAAACTTCACAAGGCTGCCATGCGCTCCTAAAACGAACAAGAGGTCTGACAGTTTTAGTGTTAGCATGCTAATATTACCTAATATGGTAGTGTTACCTTCGTAACATTACCTTATTATTAAATAAATTATTATTAAATAAAAGTTCTAAACAAGGGATCATGTCTCCACCGCTGACATTACTCGAACATTACCTTCGTAAAATTACCTTATATGGTATTGTTGCCATGGTGACACTAAAGCTGTTAATAAAATGTAATCCAGAGTGCCTTGTTAGGGATAATCAGTAGTTAGCTGAACGTTATGGTATTTATCCTTGAGTAAGTGCATTAAGTTTAGTTTTTAATATAATTGCGTATGTGCATAATGCATACTGTATAGTGCATACTGTATAGTGCATACTGAATAGTGCATACTGAATAGTGCATACTGTATACAGAGGAGCGAATAATAACGCTACCAAGTACCAACAGTACAAACATATTAGTAATTATGATTATGATAACTCCAACATTGCCTTATATGGTTTTGCTACCATGTTATAAATTGTTAATCAACATTGCCTTATATGGAAATAATATTTTTACTAGTGAAGATATTGAAGAAGACGATGAACGAGATTTGGGGTATTTGTATTTCCCGTATAGGAAATGGTGGGTTTTGAAACGGGGAATTTGAAATTACCGCTTTCTTCTTTCTCAGAAATTTATGTACAGATGCCTTTTCGTTAGGAAGGATGTGCATGTTTTTCTCTATAAAAATAGCTATTTCTTTTTTCTTGGATGAAGATATTTTCTCTTTAAAAAACGGCTTGATCCGACTCGACTTCTAAACTGATTTCTTTTACTGTGCTAAATATTAAAATATAAAACTATGCTCATATCTTCTCTCTCTCTCTGTTCTACTCCTCATATCTTATTGTAACATATCATCCACTAAAAGCAACGTAAAATTTTGAGAAATCGGCACACTCGACTGCAAACCGCATGTTTAACTATTCTAATCACTCAAAATTACCTTATAATATGGTAGTGTTACCATAGCAACATTACCTTATATGGTAGTATTACCTTAACAACATTACCTTATATGGTAGTGTTACCATAGCAACATCACCTTATATGGTAGTGTTACCATAGCAACATTACATCTCCCAAGGTGCGAGATAGATATTCCGCACAAGAAAGCGAAAGGAGGAGAGAGGGAGTCTCAGATTAATAAACGTAGCAAGAGGTTAACTCTACCTGAGCCTACAGGTAAATCAGTAGTTTATATCACTTACACTGCCTTATATGGTAACATTATCTAAGGTAATATTACCATGGTAACCTGTAACCTGTATCTCCCCAGAACGAGACCAATTAGAACACCTCCCAATGATAGAAGCTGACACAGTAAGACCTGTTGAGTCAGCACCCAGAACAGGTGCAGCAGGAGCAGCACCCAGAGCAGGTGCAGTATCCAGAGAACCAGAGCAACCCTCCCCTCCCCAGAGGTTACCTAGACGGGACCAGAGTGAGGAGAGGAGGAGGGGCCGGAGGGACAAGAGCGTTGAGAGGAAACGTAAGTAAACTAACCAATCAGAGCACCATATTTAAATACTGTGCTCTGATTGGTTTAATTACACCACGTGACTCAAATATTTAAAATAAAGATTTGAAAATTAAGCTTGTTATACTGTAAGACATCGCAAAGATTGGACCTAAATGTACGTCAGATTGAAGCAGTTTGATCAACTGATTTCATAATTTAGTGAAATTAATAAGCAATGGAGTTAAACATATGATAGACAGTAATGTTAGAACTGTATAACTGTCAGTATTGTTCTAACATCACGTAGGTATTCGATTATTAGTTACACTGAGTACCTATTAAAGCTATACATTGTAACGCTACCATATAAGGTAATGTTACCATGGTTACAGCCCTAACCTGACCTTACATGGTAGGGTTACTATGTTAACAATACCATATATGGTATTGCTACTTCTGACATCACATGTTATTAGAAACGAAAATCTGAGACAGATTATTGAATTCCAAACAATTAAAGAATATCAATCACATATAGGATAGGAGCTTATAACAACACTACATACCACATTGTAATAATCTCATCATCATATCAACTACACTTATTGTGCCTTCAGAGTGGGTCAAATATGTGAACTCACTGCCGCCCTCTTATTCAGCGTCTTTCATGTGTAGTTTGTTTCGCATTGTGTTGTAAATGTTACTTGTTTATTGAGCTTGGTGTAACCTTCAATTCGAAACTAACTTTCCAAATCATCTGAAACCGTAACGTTACCTTGTAAAACTTGCTAAACTTCTACACAATAAAAAAGCGGTTGTTATATATATATTATATATATACACAACCGCTTTTTATATATATATACACTTGACCTTGTAGTTGTTTCTTGAGCCTGTACTACTGTATTGGTGTATCTAGAACAGAAGAGGTCTGCAGCAAGTGTCTGAAGTGATGGAAGTAGAAGTAGAAGTAGAAGTAGAAGTAGAAGTAGAGGTAGAAGTGGTGGGTAATGTCTCCTCTGCCCCTGCCCAGTCAGCTGAACCTGATGTGTTGTACGGAGCAATTGTAGCGTTCTTATCTGATAAGATCGGATCAGGTATTATATCTCAACTGTAACCATATTATCTCCATGTTGACACTACCATATAAGGTAATGTTACCATGGTTACACTAAAAATCTGTTCGGTAAGGATTCTATAGATCGGGGTTATGAAATCGAAAATGAAATTAGCCCAATCTTAATTTTAATATTCTAACCATCGTTACTAACTCTCAGGGCGGATGGACGCCATTCGACAAAAAACTTACGACCGGAAAAAGGAACAGAAACCAGAAGAAGCTGAGAGACGAGGCAGAGATACAAGACATCCTGACAAGGAGGAGGAGGAGAAGCCGGAACCTCCGTCCCGAAGAGTGCGACCTAAAAATGAGGAACGACCGTCTAGAAGGAGGACAAGACCATCTGCTCCAGATGAACTGGATGGTTAGTTACTATGGTTACAAGTGCAGTTACTATGGTTACAAGTGCAGTTACTATGGTTACATGTGCAGTTACTATGGTTACATGTGCAGTTACTATGGTTACATGTGCAGTTACTATGGTTACATGTGCAGTTACTATGGTTACATGTGCAGTTACTATGGTTACATGTGCAGTTACTATGGTTACAAGTGCAGTTACTATGGTTATATATGCAGTTACTATGGTTACATGTGCAGTTACTATGGTTATATATGCAGTTACTATGATTACATGTGCAGTTACTATGGTTACATGTGCAGTTACTATGGTTACATATGCAGTTATTATGGTAACATGTGCAGTTACTATGGTTACATGTGCAGTTGCTATGGTTACATGTGCAGTTGCTATGGTTACATGTGCAGTTTCTATGGTTACATGTGCTAATCTCTTACCGTTTGCTTAGTGTTTAGTACATTACACCCACGTATTTTCCCTACCATTATGTAGATTTAATCTCAGGAAGGTTACCTACAGTAGAAGTAGGAAGTGGACCTACAGAACACACGGCAGCTCCAGAACCCCCTCCACCAGATCCACCTGTCCGTCTACCAGCTAGGGGCAGAACACCCAGTGGGCGTGAGTTTATTTGCTGTGTTCTGATTGGTTACTTTGTTATTAATACTGTGTTCTGATTGGTTCGTTTGTGTCACGTGGTGTGAATACTGTGTTCTGATTGTTTGGTTTGTGAATTGTGTCACATGGTGTGAATACTTGGCTCTGATTGGTTGGTTTGTGTCACGTGGATTACACAGGATTTACACAGGATTACACAGGATTAACATTAAATTATAGGTAGGATGATGTGTTCTGATTGGTTGATTTCAGATTTGTGTCACGAGGGTTTCAAATACGCCTCAATGTGTGCAAGTACGCCTCAATGTGTGCAAATACACCTCAATGTGTGCAAATACACCTCAATGTGTGCAAATACGCCTCAATGTGTGCAAATACACCTCAATGTGTGCAAATACGCCTCAATGTGTGCAAATACGCCTCAATGTGTGCAAATACGCCTCAATGTGTGCAAATACGCCTCAATGTGTGCAAATTCGCCTCAATGTGTGCAAATACGCCTCAATGTGTGCAAATACACCTCAATGTGTGCAAATACGCCTCAATGTGTGCAAATTCGCCTCAATGTGTGCAAATACGCCTCAATCTCTCAATGTGTGCCCTGTATCTTGTTGCTTCTTAAAGCGCAGATAGGAAGGGTTATGTCTCAGGCTGAAATGCCGATTCTATATATTATACTATATACTCGTGTTTAAATTCCTTTCACATACCTGTATACATATCTGCCACAATTTCGTAAGATTGTAATACGTTATAGGATCTCCATACTTTGCCATAATCTCATAATGTGTGTGGTGTAATGAAGTTATGCTTTGTCTTATGACTCTTAACTCTAACTACACTCTAGTACCTATATTCATTGTTAACCTTTCTATTGATAGTTTTTGATAATTTTGCCATACTATTCTGCAGTATTGATGTCGCATATTTCAGTATACCTTATCGGACCTTATTTGGACCTTATCGGAACTTATTTGTTTTACACGCCGAATGGCTTGTAAAACTAAAAGTTAACAATGAAATGCAGGACCGGGGTAGTTAGATAAAAGAAGTTTCCATAAAGCTAGAAATCACTGATGCTTTAAGCATGGACTTTTTCAAGCACGAAAACCCATTTGATGAAGATGATATGTGATATTAGACACTGATCATTTGCACATAATTTAACATTTTTACTGCTTAACGACTGCTTTTCTTATTTACTGTATAAAAAATGGATTTAAAAATCATTTGCTGAAATAAAAAAAAGTTTAAAAAAATGAAAAAATTCGGATTTTTGATGGTTTTGAATGCCTTCTAGCGTTCATATTAATTTCCGTTCATAATTATGTCCGTTCATTTAATGTCCGTCCAAATAAGGTCCGATAAGGTAGTACAGAGAGATCCGTAGGAGTGATACATATTTCAGTATAGTACAGTATAGTATCTGTTCTAGTAGTGATACTAGTGTGACACTGCACAGTGGCTTTTACCGGGAGCTTTCCTTGAACTGCATGTTGATGTCCTCCATATGTATTATGTATTATGTATGGATTATGATGTATTCTGATTTATCGAGATAGTTTTTACATCCATAATGCTCTGCCTCTTAATAAGTCGACTCTAGAATATTTAAACGTACAGTGTAAGAGTTTATAAACATGCTAAGAAATTACACACGCATATATTCTTATTATTCTCCTTGTTTTTCTTTTGTCCATCATAGGGCGCCCTGTTTAGTGAGGACCCTTTCAAAGAGAGAGAGATTACTGGTATTCCGCTCCGAACTGACCTCTCAAACACAAGGTCTAACAATGTCCCACAACTACAATACTACTGAGAGATGTGGTCACGCAGAGTTCCTAGAGAGACTGGACCGGGTTATAATTAACTGTAGAACTAACAGACTGCTAACTCGCACTCACAACCTCCAGAACAAACTAACCAACTCTAGGAGGAGATTGTTGTGCTGTTCTCACACAGCTCCTAACAAAATACATGTCTCTATTGGTGTGTTCTGATTGGTTGTTTTGTGTCACGTGTGTGAATACTGTGTTCTGATTGGTTGTTTTGTTTCACGTGTGTGAATACTGTGTTCTGATCGGTTGTTTTGTGTCACTAGTGTACCCATCACTGTGACGTCATTCGGTTCCATTACTGTCAGTCACGTTTCAAGTTGCCCACTCTATACTGAGTATTGGTTAGTCCACTCAATTGCTGTCACTTAAGTTACATAATATGTACAGATTCTAGACCACTGACTACGCACGGTCACTTAGTTACCGACTTCAGAGGCAACTGACGGCATTGAGATTTCCACTCAATTTATTGAGGTCAACTCAAGATTACACAGATACAGGACACTCATCTCAGTTACCAGCTCTAACGAGAAAAGTCACTCAGGTGAGTACAGGGCTCAATACTGACGTATTGTTCATTCCTATACGCTTCGGTAACATCAACATGGCACTTCAAGTGTAGCCACTATGACAGCATAATGCTATTCTGATGACATCACTTCAGTTCCCCACTCCACTCAGCCCCGAGTCTCGCCCACATCTGCCTACTCAGTACCAACACTGAGTCACTTCAAGTTACCACTCACCGTGTCATTCGTCACCCCACTCTGACATACTCAAGTACACTGCAATACCAGTCTAAGTTCCACTTTGACAGTCATCTCAAGTAAAGCAGCATTTCAAGTTACCACTACACTGCAGTACTTGTCCATTCAATCTCACTTATTAACTACTCTGCAGTCCTTAATTTCTCTAGCAGCATTAAACCCTCAATATGACAGTTAAGTTCCACTTATGAGTCACTTCAAGTCCCACTATGATGTCACTTCAGTACCATCAACTACTGACGTTTATTCCTTCATATGAATTTCAATACCACCTACTACTACGTCACTTATTACTCTTACTGACATACTTAATACACATTCACTGATATATGCCCATAACCGCTATCTGAAGCCTTAATACTCTATTCAAGTTACCCACTCAACTACTGACAGTCACTTCAAGTTACCCACTCAACTACTGACAGTCACTTCAAGTTACCCACTCAACTACTGACAGTCACTTCAAGTTACCCACTCAACTACTGACAGTCACTTCAAGTTACCCACTCAACTACTGACAGTCACTTCAAGTTACCCACTCAACTACTGACAGTCACTTCAAGTTACCCACTCAACTACTGACAGTCACTTCAAGTTACCCACTCAACTACTGACAGTCACTTCAAGTTACCCACTCAACTACTGACAGTCACTTCAAGTTACCCACTCAACTACTGACAGTCACTTCAAGTTACCCACTCAACTACTGACAGTCACTTCAAGTTACCCACTCAACTACTGACAGTCACTTCAAGTTACCCACTCAACTACTGACAGTCACTTCAAGTTACCCACTCAACTACTGACAGTCACTTCAAGTTACCCACTCAACTACTGACAGTCACTTCAAGTTACCCACTCAACTACTGACAGTCACTTCAAGTTACCCACTCAACTACTGACAGTCACTTCAAGTTACCCACTCAACTACTGACAGTCACTTCAAGTTACCCACTCAACTACTGACAGTCACTTCAAGTTACCCACTCAACTACTGACAGTCACTTCAAGTTACCCACTCAACTACTGACAGTCACTTCAAGTTACCCACTCAACTACTGACAGTCACTTCAAGTTACCCACTCAACTACTGACAGTCACTTCAAGTTACCTACTCATTTACTGACAGTCACTTCAAGTTACCCACTCAACTACCGACAGTCACTTCAAGTTACCCACTCAACTACCGACAGTCACTTCAAGTTACCCACTCAACTACTGACAGTCACTTCAAGTTACCCACTCAACTACTGACAGTCACTTCAAGTTACCCACTCAACTACTGACAGTCACTTCAAGTTACCCACTCAACTACTGACAGTCACTTCAAGTTACCCACTCAACTACTGACAGTCACTTCAAGTTACCCACTCAACTACTGACAGTCACTTCAAGTTACCCACTCAACTACTGACAGTCACTTCAAGTTACCCACTCAACTACTGACAGTCACTTCAAGTTACCCACTCAACTACCGACAGTCACTTCAAGTTACCCACTCAACTACTGACAGTCACTTCAAGTTACCCACTCAACTACTGACAGTCACTTCAAGTTACCCACTCAACTACTGACAGTCACTTCAAGTTACCCACTCAACTACTGACAGTCACTTCAAGTTACCCACTCAACTACTGACAGTCACTTCAAGTTACCCACTCAACTACTGACAGTCACTTCAAGTTACCCACTCAACTACTGACAGTCACTTCAAGTTACCCACTCAACTACTGACAGTCACTTCAAGTTACCCACTCAACTACTGACAGTCACTTCAAGTTACCCACTCAACTACTGACAGTCACTTCAAGTTACCCACTCAACTACTGACAGTCACTTCAAGTTACCCACTCAACTACTGACAGTCACTTCAAGTTACCCACTCAACTACTGACAGTCACTTCAAGTTACCCACTCAACTACTGACAGTCACTTCAAGTTACCCACTCAACTACTGACAGTCACTTCAAGTTACCCACTCAACTACTGACAGTCACTTCAAGTTACCCACTCAACTACTGACAGTCACTTCAAGTTACCCACTCAACTACTGACAGTCACTTCAAGTTACCCACTCAACTACTGACAGTCACTTCAAGTTACCCACTCAACTACTGACAGTCACTTCAAGTTACCCACTCAACTACTGACAGTCACTTCAAGTTACCCACTCAACTACTGACAGTCACTTCAAGTTACCCACTCAACTACTGACAGTCACTTCAAGTTACCCACTCAACTACTGACAGTCACTTCAAGTTACCCACTCAACTACTGACAGTCACTTCAAGTTACCCACTCAACTACTGACAGTCACTTCAAGTTACCCACTCAACTACTGACAGTCACTTCAAGTTACCCACTCAACTACTGACAGTCACTTCAAGTTACCCACTCA